ACAGGGAGGTTAATTGTATAAATTACAGATAACAATAATACAACAATAATAACAACAACAACGGCAACAATAATAACAATAATAGTAGTAGTAGTAGTAGTAGTAATATTACTAATAATAGTAATAATAATAATAACAATAATAAAAAAAAAAAAGGAGAAGAAGAAGAAGCAAAAGATGAGAACTTTGAGATGGAATATTAATGTAAGGATTAAACAATGATAATAACAAATGTCAAGGTTAGAGGTTCCACTAATGATATGTCAAACAAGTATAGTATAAACTTTTATTATTCAATTGGAAACCACATACAAAAGAGGTTTCAATCAGATTATAGATTGTTAATATGATTACATTAGTCATCTTATTCGATTAATGCTAATACTTGTAAATCTCGTCAAGCATTTATGATTATAACTTATGTTAACAACAAATCAAGTTCCTTTCATAGCTCAGGTGTCGGTTATACCATACAGTATGAGTTATGAAAGTGCCAAACATTTGTTGTACCAAGTGTTATACAACATAGATCAAGATTAGTCATTTAACAAGTAAAGTATTAAAGAGTGAACAAGATAACAAATACAAAACATGTTAGTATCAAACATTAAAGTCCATGTTAAGTTTATACTATACTTATTCTTACACCATTAGTGTAACTTTTCACCTTGACATAATAAACTTAGTTAGACATAATAAAAGAAAAAAAGAAAAATAAATAAACAAAATAAGAACATAAATAAGATAAAAGTTAACTAAGGAAATGAAAAACATAAGCTTGATATTAATGAAAGTAAAGCATAAACATTACAAAAAATACAAAGAGAGAAAGCAAGAACATGATCTTGATTTGGAAACCAAGACGCTTAAATGCATGGAAAATGCCTCCTTGGCCAAAATTGAAAACTATTGATTTGATAACTAATTGATAAGTGGGTGACCAACTCTTGACTTGGTGACAATCCTTATCTTCTCTTGTCTGTCCAAAACGTCATTGATAACATTAAAATTGGAGCCACTTGTAAACATGAAAGTTGTAGGAAATTGTTTCAGCTTTCTTGTGTACAAAATTCAGGTCATTTGGACTTCTGGAACTCCAGATATGGGCCAAACACTGAACAGTGCTTGGGCTGGAAGACAGATTCAGACTTCTTTGTTATTGCTACAATTTGGACTTGAAAATGATCTTTTTTAGTTTTAGGCTCCATATGAAAGTTGTAGGCTTATGTCTTACCTTTCCATCCATATAAATTACACTTAATTCTGAGATTTACAGCTCCAGATATGACCCAATTACCGAACAGTGTTCCAGTTTGGACTGCACCGACATCTCTTTTCTAAGTTTGGTCATCTCTTTGTCCTTTCAATTTCAATTTTTAAATTCATCAATCAATCCTTTCATTTATATGATAGGCCTACATTTAAAATAAATATTTACTATAAATTAAAGACATCTTATAGTATTAGATACGTTATTATAAAACATGCTTTAGTTAAAAAATTATTGATACTTCAAGTATAAAATGATGATATAAAACCTTGATAAAAATGCACTTTTTAGTACTAATTAGGAGGCTAGAAAGTAACATTCAATGCGAACCAAAAAATAAAATCAAACTTCTTCTTCAAGTAAAGGACATTTTGTTTGTAACTTTTTTTCACTTTCAAATGTCTTAGGGATCTTATTTCTTGTGATTTCTTGTCTTTCGGAGTGGTTTCTTGCTCTCCCTTTTTGCAATTTGCAAGGTGAAAAGGAGATTAATGATCGTAACTAATTTTTTTCCCTAATTATTTGAGATTCACTAGTGAACTTGCTTTCTGACATGGGTTATGCAATTCTTGATGAAATGTGGGAAGTTATCAACAACAAGTTGATATTCCTTGCATAGGTACCTTTCAGGTCCTCCCATTTTGGTATCGAATCTAAGACGTAGATGGCACCTTTTCCTACCGACTTCCAATTTATCATCTTCCTGATCATATGGTCAGGATTGCTACTTTTACCTTTCACCAATTTCCTTGTTATTTTTATATTCCTTTTCTTCTAGGCCAAAGGCATCAATGGAGTGTTTAATTCTTCTTTATACTTGATCTCTTACTGGTTTTGGACCAACCCTTTATAAGTAACCACCTTGAATTTAGTAGTAGCATCAGTAGCAGATCCTTTATTTTGATAATTTTCTATAAACATGTTTATTAATTCACTTTCATCTTGTAGCAATTTGCAATGTATGATCTCCACATGATTTTCCATTAGGGAACTGTTTCTTATAAACTCAGCATAACTTCTGATCAACAAATTAAGAACAATACCAAAGTTTGATGATGGGATTAGAGCAAGAGTGACTTGTGATTTAGGGAGAGCATGAGTGTCTATTTATTTGTATTTGATTAAGTAGAAAAGACAACCCAACTAGGTTTTGTTTTTGGCTTCTTAACTAGTGAGTGTTTGTATGATCATAAAAAAAAAATCAAATAAAAATTTAAAGAAAGAAAAAGAAAACAAAAAAGAAGTTTTGTTTATTTTATAAATAATAAACATAGTTTATCTCCGATATTAATTTTGGCATTCCAAGTTGAGGGCAAACATTCAAATTTTATTACAACTTGTCCTTGGAGGTTAGACAATTATGAAAGAGGTGTGAAAAATTCCAGGGACACCATTTGCATTTAGGGCCAAAAATCTCTAATCCACAAAGAACCAATGAAGCAAGGCCAGCTCACCAACCAAAATCTTCCCGCAATCATTTCCATCCTCACAACGTAATCTCCCTTGGCTACTCTATATCTAAACCATCACTAGTGGCATATATGATCTTTATGCACCACTGCACGATCTCAACATCTCCAGATTTCTCATAATCCAAGCCTCTCTTCAACTCACAAGGCAGGCGCACTTCCACCGATGGCAACCTCTAGCTTGCTCTTCACGCCCACTATCCAAAAGAACCACCACAACCTCACCCCGTCCAACCTCTCATTCCAAGGCCTTAGACCCCTCACCAGGGCCAAAACCACCTCCCTCTCCAAGATCAGCACCCCTGCACCAAAAAGGAGCTTAGCTGTGAAAGCAGAGCTTAACCCATCACTGGTCATAAGCTTGAGCACCGGGGTATCACTCTTTTTGGGAAGGTTTGTGTTCTTTAACTTCCAAAGGGAGAACGTGGCAAAACAAGTGCCTGAGCAGAATGGTTTGACTCACTTTGAGGCAGGAGATAAGCGTGCCAAGGAATATGTAAGCCTCCTGAAATCAAATGATCCAGTTGGTTTCAACATTGTTGATGTTCTTGCTTGGGGATCCATTGGCCATATTGTTGCCTACTACATCTTAGCCACAGCCAGCAATGGCTATGACTGGGACCCCAGCTTCCCATGTTGCTTTTAGATTTATTGTTCTGCCTTCAATTGATTGTGCTTCACTTGTGTAAACCTTGTATAGTGGTTCATTAGAGAGGCTTTTTTTTTTTTTTTTTTTTCCTTCTGGTTGGGGGAATTTAAGGTTCGGATGATCATCTTAAATATGCGTAATCTTTCCCTTTCCTTGCCTTGTGATGTTCAATTGAAGCACCAAAATGATTAGCACACTGCTTTGTTGTAAAGTGAAAAATTAAAACAAGTAGCTTTGAACTTGAAACGAACACAACAAAAACAAATGAGGGAGTTGCCGATGGTAAAAATGGAACTTACAAAGAGTAGCTTTGAACATAATAACTCCTTTGCAGAATTATGGCAAAAATTGCCTAATTATATGGATTAACCGGTTGCTTTGGCTGAGAATCATTAAAACCTCGGTAATTTGTTGGGGGTTATTGCGAAATAATCAACAGCACTTGGGCATGAATGGAGTAAGCAGTCGGGAGGGGTGTCTAATAATCAGCAATTAAGCTGTATGTTTATGGACATTTAAAATAATAATAATAATAATTACGGACGAGGGTTTCGCACGATATCACAACAATAATTAAAAAGATTAGGGGGAAAAAAAGATATTTAGTTTCTTGTTTCAAGAGTGCAACATTTGTGACAAAGAGTTATCATTTAATATTATAATTAATAAAAATAATTATTAAAAATTAATATTGATTAATAAAAATATCAAAGTTAAGTTGCGAAAAAAAAATTATTACATTTAAATTGTCATATCAAGATAAATTGTATTATTAATTTTTTTTTTAATTCTTAAAAGTTTTGAAGACAGGTTTTATTGCTTTTATTTGTTTATGTTCAAAACAACAGGCTTTTATCTTTATCATTCACTATTTTATATGACATGCTTTAACATTTTCATTATACTCCGTTTGATAACACAAGTTTAATGTTTTTATTTTATTATTAAATAATAAATTTATTATAAATCAGGTTTTATAATTTATTTTATACAAGATTATTATAGATTCATGACTTAAATTATGAATTTAAAAAATTAATCTGAATTAATCTAAGTTAATTCAGTATATTGTTATATTAATATTTTTAAAAAAATATTATCTTGAGTTTTTTTTAAAGTTACATTATATTTTTATTAATCATTTAAGTTATTTTTAAATTTGTTTAGTCGCACCATTTATTTCCTTTTTTCTACTAGAAAAATAATAGTTACATCTAGATAATTCATTTTACAATAAAAAATTATCCCACCGTTGTAGCACGGATCAACAATTTAATAGTTGCTGTTTAAATTTTGTAAGTTAATAGCTGTTACTTTTATTCTCCAAAGATTACTGACTTTTTTGGTGTTAAGGAGCATCCTAGTTAGATTACAAGGAATTTAGAGCAAGTAGACTTGTAATCAATCAATGTCATGCTTGTGCCCTAATTTTACGAGAATTTCTCTCAAACAGCGTGACTGTCCAAATACTGTTCTATATTCTCTCTGGGGTTTGGATTCCAGGCAAAAATGAAGCCGTTGCTTTTGCTTACTTGCTTCCCACGAACCAATTTATGAAGACACAAACTCACTCGTCCTTGGATATATCTCAAACACAAGGTAACACCTACCACTTTGTCACTCTTTTGTACATTCAGTCTGATTTGCTGTTTGTTTGCTGCAATATCATGTCTAGATCGTGCAACGTTTGCAATAAAGTGTTTCCTAATGGAAAATCATGGGGAGGCCACTTAAGGGCAAGTTACAAGAAGGAAAAGGAAAAGGATCGAGGAGATATTGATGATGGCATGGAATATTATCTCTCTTCTTCACAATCAGAATTAGAGTTTGAATTTCATGGTGACGGTGACGCTGCTGAGGCTAGATCCTCAGAAGATAAGGTTAGAATTGCTGCTTTAAATCAAGATAGTGAAAAGAGTCTCACAGACGATTGCAGCCTTGAAACAGAAAGGAAGTATAGAAGAGTTTCGCTGGGATCAGTAAGAAGCTTATTTTCTATTATTTAAGGTTTTATGTGATATACTTAACCTGTTTTTTTTTAGAAATTATATTATTGTTTTAGTTTTAGGTGAATACAACTGGTAATACTTAGCTTTTTACTAAAAATGAAAAGTTAATATAACTACTAATATTTAGCTCTATAAAAAAAAATGTATGAAATTTCTATTCCAGTCCAGTACTATGCTTACATTTTATGGTACTCAAGGACTAACTAAGCACCTATTTTTAATTTGATTCTCGTCATTGACATGCTCCAAATCTTGCATGTTCGACTTGTATTTCCTTGGTAAACTGGTGGCTTTGCAATTAAGGTAGCTTCAAGCACCAGCCACCTACTAATAGTTTTGCTTCCTAGAAACTAGAGAAAAAAAAAAAAAAAAAAAGAAGAAGAAGATCGATTTGCCTTGTTGCCAGGAAGAAACAAAAACCTAACGAAAGCAGCTCCATTCACTGTCTACGAGCAGCACCACCATCAGTTTCATATAGACATTCATACGACACCAAGGATTCAACACCACTGCATGGTTGACATTCGACACCTGAATAACTTGAAATTAAAATCCCAATTCCCCCTTGGAACCATATTTTTATCAATCAAACATGATTTTGCTTATTTAAGATCAACTTGAACACAATCCGAGTTTCAACTCATAGAAGGGGCATCACCAAAAAGAGAAGGACAAGGATGAAAAAGACCCTATCATCTTAAGATCTTTACTCAACAGAAATATAAGAAGAAATGAATTACAAGAGCGACAACGAAAATCAAAAACTTTGTTACAACTACAACCCCATCGTCTACTCCAACCCCAAAAAACAGAGAGAACGTTCTACGTGAAAATATGATATCCAATCTTTGCTTGGAAATGTTGAGAATGGACAGAGAACAAAGACCTGTTGTTTTATTTAAGTGGGTGCAACCACCCCAGAAGAGGGTGATAACTGCAACACTAATAGCCAAAAAACCAAGAAAAGCAAAATCAACTGGATGAAAAAACATGCAGTAACCTTACATAATTTGCTCTGCATCTTAAACACCTCTTCGGTCCCTAAAACATCTCCACAGTATTTTTCTAGCTGCTCCGCTTGTTTCTTTAGTGACGCAGCCTTGATACCTGCTTCTCCTAGCTTATTTAGCATCTGCACTTGCTCACCAGCCAGAGCCTGTTGTTCCTCAAATAGGGTGATTTGATCACCTGCAGCAACTCTCAACTTCTGCAGATTCCTTGTTAATGCCAGACACTTAATCTCAGCCTCGATCTTTTGCTTGAAGAGGGCCTCAAGCTCGTTCTCAATCTCTCTAGATTTCTCTTGTTGCAATTCTGTGGTGCTCACTGATTCTTCTTTTGGTGACTTGTCACCATTCAAGGAGGCTTCCAGTTCAGCAACCATTGTCTCCTTCATCTTGAGCATAGCCTTTGTCAACTCCAGGCTGCTTTCCAAGTATTTCACATTCTGTGTTAAGCTTAATACTTGGAACTCCAATGAACTTGATTCTTTGAAACTTTCAGAATCAAACTTGTCAGATAAGCTCGATTCATGGATTTCTGGATCAGCTAAAGAGGGATCTTCCACTACACTGCCAACTTTCCCGATCTCCCCCAATTTTTGAACCTCTGCAAGAGTAGACATAATTCAGTTAACTATGCTATCATACTACCTTTCCACTTTATCTTGCAGAAAATCGACACAAGGTCTTCATCCACAACAAATTTATCTGATTCAACAGATGTGCCATCAACAACTTGAATGAAAGGACAAGTGCTATCTAGAGGTACCAACAGGTGAGGGAAAAGGGAAACACCAGGAACCAATTCAACACCAGACAAGTGACCCAACTTAGGAGACTGACCATAATTACCTAAGACATGGATCAATTCTATGCATAAAATGGGGTGAAAACACCGTGTGCCACAGACTGGAATTCAGTATGAATGCCACTTCAAAATGATGACCATGTAATTCAAGCCCATATCTTGCTTCCAAGCAACACTTACTATAAAACGATAATTAATTTCAAAGTAATTGGCAATTGGACTGCTCAGATGAAAAAATCCTGAATTGCATAAAATGGAGATAATTGTTTTTACTGGAATCACCTAACTTCTGCTTTCTTAGATTAGAAAGGTAAGTGGAGTTTAAACAAACAATGGCAGTAGGACAGTAGGGTTCGACTTCCACAGACAGCAAGTCCCAATGTTGACCATCAGCTGCAGGCCTTAAGGGCTGTGCTCAGCCAGGCACATCTCTTGCAGGGAGGGCTCCAGGCCTGGGTTGGTGGAGGATTAGTCAAGTCCAACGATGGATACCCCACCTCCTCAATACTAAAGAAAGAGAAGGGATTTGAAATATAAGTTCCAGATTGAAAATTGATATAAAGGGAGAAAGAAGCATTCAGCCAGTGGGAGATGATTGTTCTTATTGGATGCCCTAACTTTCGTGTTTTGGATTCAAGATGCAAGTTCCAATTAAAAACAGATACTGACGGGAAAGAAACACAACCTAATGCGTGAGATCAATATCTACATCACAAAGAAAAGACTGGCTAACCACATGTCCTCATGCAAACCAGTTATACCAAGTACGACGCAAATCTTTGAATGTGTAACAGGAATAAACAGCCGGAACATGGTTAGCCTTGGAATATAAATCTTTCTACCTTCAAATTGAAATATGTCCAGTAAACTAACACCAAATCCTATTGATAGCACGTACGCTGAGCTGCTGCTCTTTCCTTCTAAGAACCATGCTTCTCAATAATTTCACAATTACATTTCTGAGAAATGCTGATTACTTCGATTAGAGTTATGCGTCTATAAGGAGAAAAGGCAAAACAATTACATAGATACCTGGAAGAAGCATTACAGGACTATCTACAAAAAATTGTCAACCTCTGAAACCAAACAGCTATAGCAAAAACAAATTATGAGGTATGATACAACTGCAAATCAACAATACAATATATGATAGCACACAAATGGCCTATATAAAACACGTCATAAAAAAAGGATTATCAAATCCGATAAAAGATAGTCAAACCAACCGTTTTCAAGAGCTTTTTGCACAGATTGGAGGGAAAGTATAGACTCAACCCACTGATCCTGATCTGCCGAGGGTCGGTGATCAACCCTTTTTCCTCCCTTATCTGTCCAAGATGCTTCTGCAGCTAATTCATCTTCTGAAACATATTCAACTTCTCCAACATTCTCCTGCCCATAACCAGTATGTACATCCCCGCTAAATTGTTGTTCACCTGCATGGGCTTCATCGCTGTTTTCTCCGTCGTAAATCATTGACCTTCCACTTTGCTTTCCGTTACTGTTCACAGAATAATCACCCTGCATAAAGACAACGTTGGAGCTTCTTGAATCAGATTCCATGCTGGAATGAGAGTTTTCCTTCTCGATTTTGACCCTTTCTCCTCTAGGCTTCTTACCGTTTTCTACCCATCCCTTCCCTTGTTGAACCTGTTGAGCTGAACTACCCACACCCTTCCCACTCAAACTCTTCACCCTGTTCTTGTCCCGTGCATACCCTGACACTGCAGGCAGGTCATGCCTCACCCTAGGAGCACTAGCTGCTGTTGAAGACTTGCTACTCCGATCCTCACTATTCTCAGAATCCATGCCAGCTGCGAAAGCAGATGCAACCATAAATCTAGATTCCATACTAGACCCACTGGTCACAAACGCATCGCCAAGAGCCACATTTCTAAATAGATTGGCCGATCCGAAAGAACCATCGCTGTTTTGCATGACCTCAACCAGCTTTAAATTTGTTGGTTCAGCCTGATTCACAGCACCAGAGAATACTCGTTTCAAAACTTTACTGTTATCTGCATCGGCACTAGCATCCTTAACAACATCTCTCCTAATTCGCCTCCATTTCTTCAAGCCAAATCCCTTAGTCGGAGGTGACCCTCCAGCAGGAGATATGGCCGTTGAAGGCGGTGACTTCCCTGAATTCCCCACTTGCTCACTTCCCACACCTTCCTTAACTTCTCCATCATGAGGCAATGTATTCGTATCACCATTACCATTAGCACCCATGTCATGAATTATTCCATTCGAACATGATCCATTTGCCTTTATCTTACTGTTATCATCCCCACCATCACCATCTCCATGATTTAAGGGACAGTCAGGGGCTGTGGTTGAAATGATGGTGGTGGTAGTTAATTCATTATCTTCAACAGATTCAAGCGCAAGACTTTCACTCTCCAAATCCATAAATCTGAGGTTTAAAGGGTGGTCTCTCTGGATCAAGATCAAGATCAAGATCAAAGAACTATCATTCCAGCAGTATTATATGCAAAATCTGGAAAATAGAATAAAGTACATAACACTTTGCATCAAATTCAAATAACCCTTTGATAACATGATTCAGTCTTCCTATCCATGAACAGATTTAAATGAATTAAACAAAATCCAAAAGAAAGCATAATTCAAAAGAGTGAGATATATTATTGAAGGAAAAGAGAGAGAGAGAAAGATAAAAGGATATACCTTTTTATATCCATAAATTAAGAATGAAAGCTTTGAAATGAAATTGAAGAAGAAAGGTGAATGGAATGATGGGGAAAATCAAAAGGAAATAGAAACCATAAACTGTGCTTGAATTTGCAATTTTGTACAGAAGCAGCGCGTCCTGGCGTGGCTGGAATGAAATTGTAATTATTCATTGACGATTAGTAGTCGTGGTAGTATTTTCTAAGAAATAATTAATATTAAAAAAGAAAAGAATGAACGTGGAGAGAGGAAGTTGGGGCCACATGGAAGAGGTAAGGATGGCCCAAGAACCCAACGTGTCAAAGTGGGGCTTTGCTGGCCATTTGATCACCACCACCACCTGTGATTCTTTCTAACACTAAAACATCAATTAACAACCACCCTGAGATCTCTCATCTCATCTGACAAAAGTGTCGGCCTCCTGCTAACATCATGCTCCTTGCTGGTAAACTATA